TCCCAATGGTCTGATCCTAGAAACAACCCAAAATTCAGCATCTTGGACTCTGGGCATGCCCTGTCCACGGCCTCTTTCGCGCAGTAGTAGGCAACAAACAAAAAAAAGGATCCAAACAACTCGAATTAACTGGGACTGGGATATGTGGTAAACTCTTTGGAGGCACAGCATTGTGTTCGGACGGGCCATGGGTCTTTAACGGTTGAACAACGAGCAACGTTCAAATTGTGTAGACGCATTCTACAACATGCTCCGTTAAAGACGCATTCTACAATCCAAGGCGAGGAAGAAACAACATTCACTTCTTCTTTGCGGCTCCTGAGAACGACCAACTTTTGCTTGCAGGGACCTATGTTTGGCAGGTAACGACGCACTGGTTGTTCGCGGTGCGGTGTCCAACACCCAGAATTTCCCTGCTTGGTGCATAGAATCAGGCAATCCCTATATGTATATATCTACATATATTATAATATATATATATATTCATATGGTGCGCGTCACCATGTCCAATCCCAACTAGCTCCGCACATCAGTAGTTTTTTTCTGATCCCTCATGACCCCCAAGCACGCCAGGTAGATTCGGAAATTCCCGAGTTTGGGTGTTGCCTTTTGAACCAAACTCCAATCCACTGACCACTTACCACTGCTTCAAATGTGCTGTCAGATTCAACACGGACAAAACAAAACTATGGCAATTGGCAGTAGATATGAAATAAATATATCAACTGCCCAACTAGTAGCCCCTGGCATTACTAGGAACAAGAAGCTACTAGTAACAAGGGCAATACTACTAGTGACAAGGACGCTACTCCTTCTCAGAAAGGTAGGGACAACCCCCGCCCTCCAAACCTCGAGGGACAGGGGATGGAGCCCTGGTTGACTCCTTCAAGTGACTTGCTAGGCGCCCCAGATGTATGATCCCGATCGAGCACGGGATCGGATGATGTGTCATGTTGACTGTCGGCAATACTTCAAAAACTCCTCACCAAACAAATGAAGAACGTTAGTTACTAGGAGCAAAGACGCTACGATCGGGGCTCCTGGCATTGCTACTAGGAGTTCACATCTTCATGGGGGTGTCAAATGAGCAAATGAAGACACTTTCAACTCCCCATCCAAAATCTTGTCAACATTAGGAGCCCCAGTTCTATCAAGATGCCGACTTCACCTTCATGGCGGAGGTCATTTTCATCTTAGGTAATTTGGGATCCCTGTCTTTGGGAAGTCCAGTCTCTGCACATGTCTCCCAACATACAAACTCGAAGAAGTCTTCAGAACATCACACGTCTACCTGGAGCATCCAATGGGTGCCCAATCGAAGCCACAAGCAGTGTAGGGTAGTCTATTGGAGACCCATTGGATGTTCCTGGTATGCATGATATAGATCGAGATATTCATCTGTATTATATAACAAGAGAACACAGTTAGACTATATATGAAAAGAATTTGAATTATGTTCTGCCCTTTTGTCCATGGTAAGGTGCTGCTTCTTTCCCTCATCGTCAGTAGTTCCTCCGCCCCGCTTTACGCGCCCAACCTGCCATGATGTCGAACACAATGGGGGCGTCTACAACTCCCTCTCGCGCTCTCTCGACTCTGCGGTTCCGGAACCTGTACACTTCTCTCCACTAATGGACCAGGCAGCGAACAAGAATTCAGAGCGGTATGGATCACAATCCTCCCGTTTCTACTCTCTCTGCTCCGACTCTGGAACTGACGGAGCAGCGCTGAGGAACCCCACTTCATCTGCGCTCGGTGAAGAAACCCCACGATCTGCGTGGTTCGAACACCACGGGGTCTTCGGGACCATCAGTTGAATCAGTTGCCGAGTCATCCCCGGTCCCAAATCCACTGCCAACTTCTTCGCAGGTTCGGTACGACTGGACCCGCCATTGGAACCTGCAGAAAAGTGTCGAACATCACCGTACCAAAAGAGGGAGCGTCTTTAGATTAACATGGAACCATATGGAACCTGAAATTTTAATCTATAGATACAACATTCTACAACCTAGTGACTTTCAGGTTCCATGTTCATCTTTCAGAGTGTAAGAGGTTGCTGCGCTCACCTGAGTGGCCCTTGGGACCAATGGGCCATCATGGGCTGAGCATGTCTAAAACGCCGATTTAGGTGCATAGTGCACACCTTTGTCTTGTTGACACGTTTAATCCTTTTGTCAATGGCCAAAGAATTTTTCTGATAGGTTCCAAGAAGTAGAAGCCCAAAGAAACTACCTGGAGATTCATTCTCTAAGGAAAATTATCCTAAAGAACCTAAGATCACTAGAAATCCCTCGGCCCTAAGATTTACTTGGCGCTTGGAAAATCAACGTAAGACAAACAAGCATGAACAAAACTCAAACAAGAAATTCGACACAAGAAACAACAAATCAAAAATGGTCAAAGCTCGCCAATCCACAATATAATCACAAAGCAGTGTTTCCAGATGGTGGAATTTCAGTGAAATGGGAGTGGATCGCTGGCGTTATACCAAAACAATAAAACACAATAACATCATCTCCAGGGAATCCACTGTATCTGTCCTAAATTTTATCTCCAGGCCTCAGTCACCACGGTTCGGATGACCACGGTTCGGATGTCGCTTGCATCTGGTCACATCCGTGGCCAACGAGAAGCTCCAGCCGCAAACGAGAATGGGTTATATCCAAAGCTCCCCGCTCTGTCCTTCCCAAAAGAGAGACGAGCTCCAAAGGCGATCGAACCGGAATCTCTGAAGCACGATTTGTGAAGCTGGAAGGGCAAAGCAGGTCTCCTCGGATTGATGCGTCAATCAAGAGACTCATGGTGGGGGAGGCTGTACCCCGACACAGCCCACCACCGCAGGGGTGCTGGTGTGGGCAAGAGGAATGCCGACACTCTGGCACTACCACACAGGAGCTCTGGTGCTGTCCCTCAGGCGTTCTGATGTAGTCCATTCACAGGGTGACATCTTTGGGGGGGTCAGTGGGCAGAGGAAAGGAGTCCAGTAGATCCAGTAGAGTCCACCATCTCCCATGTCCAGTGTCCCGACGCTTCATTCATCTTCTTTCCTACCATCAATCTCCTGTTAATTGCATCTGCCTGATGTTCACCTCATCGCTCCTGGGGTTGACTTGCGAACGGAACGTCCTATCAGCCAGTCTGCATGTTGGCACCAAGCGGCACGGGAGTCAGGCCCCCATGCACCCACGAAGGGGGGGCTTTCTTCAAGAAACCACATGTGTTCTACCATGGACGTTACAGAAGAATCAAAAGGATGGCTCAGTGTAATCAGAATTCCCATCCTTTGGACTTCTGGGCCAACCCAAACTCACCGCCCACCTTGCCAACTTCACTGGCTGCACAAAAGATTGGCTCCCCGGGCCTGGGCCGCCCAAGTGAATCCTTTGGGAGGGATTCTGGGCCCAGGGAGATGTTTTCAACAGCGGCTTCAGATGGCCCGCAGCAGTGTCTGGGCACATAACTGGCTGTGTTTGATCGTCACTGGCTGGTATTCTCAAGGAATCTGATTGCATAGACCTGGTCCGGTCCAGCAACACCTCTACGCAAGGCCCAAAGATTGAACAAATCTGGGTGTAGCATTTTGAGACAGTTTGCAAACATGCGATTGATTCATTGATACCCCTTTACTACAACAAACTGTCTAATTACCATCTACCTTCTGGATTTCTCACCAAAAACGGATGTACTGAACAGCATAAAACGGTGAGACCGGACGCTTGAAGACTTAGAAATACACGCAAGGAGGAGGAGGATGGGGACTGAACGGGTCTGAAAAATTGTCCGAACGGGTACATTTCTTCAGGTGCATCTCTGTCTGTTTGGAAGACTGGACTGCTGTACCGCTTGAAGGGGGAACAAAAATAGTAAACATACATAGTAATAAAAGCAACAAACCCATGAACTGCTTCCACGTGAGAAGAGAATAGCATAGAGTGAGTAACTTGCCAAGAATGATGCCGCCGCCTATGAAGCCGCAGGTGTCTTTCCGAAGAATTTTTGTTATGGAAGTGACCTCGCTCACACTGACCAAGGTAGAAAATCATCGAAGAAGGCACCCTGGTGATGGCGGAAATTTCTTTCAGCAAGTTTGTCTTTGAGTGGCTGGTTCCAATTGTGTTCATGTTTGTCGCCTCAAACGCACTGAAAACAGCTCTTTTCCTACCCTGGCGGGCGTGAACACACCTCTGGCTAGGCCACCCATCATGTTTAAGTCTGCTCTCCTTGAAACCTGTCCTATTTGCCACACATCTCTTCTTCACTGAACCCTGACCCTCGGCCAGGCAGAACAGAATCTCCGGACTCGAACTCCAAGCGCCGAGCTTCCCAGCGTCTCTTGGCTTCTCAAATCCCCAAGTGATTCCGAGCGTCCCTTCCGAGCGTTTCTTACACCGACTTTGGGCACCCTCAGGAGTTTGACCAGATTCCACTGGATTCAGCAATCAACTATTGGGGGCCACCTTGGTTGCCCTGAGAAATGAACAAATATGAACAAAAAAGACTGGATTGGGTACTCAACAATTGGACATCCGCCCTGTGACCTTGATAAGATTTCTGCGACTCCAGGTCCTATCTGGATTTAGAGTGTTTGAAGTGTTCAAAAACCACAGAAAACCACCGTCGGAGATCCTGTTTTAAAAAGGGTGGCTGCGAGCAGCTCTATGTCCAACTTCAAGCAATTTCATCGAATTAGCGGAAAATCATATGTTGACCAAAAAGAGGTTCGCGGTGCGGGATCTCTCAAACTTTGGCCAGCCCATACAGCTCTGGAGAAAGGGATGTCAAAGGACTCTTTGGACTGCACTTTTGGTTGGATGCACTGCGGAAACTGCTGGACCTGCCTGAGGGGAGGTTTGTGCCTGGATATCCGTGCCCAAGAATGGTCCAGCACCGCCATAGAACTCGGAGAAAAAGGCTATCTGGGCTGACCATGCGAACCTGTTCCTATCCAGGTGCAAAATTAAAAGCGGGAAAAACCAAGACATTGAGTGGTGCTTCACCGCTCAAAATGCACCTTCGATCGCATTTCCCTTTATCATCTTGCCCTTGCCATTCTTGCGTGGGCGTGACACGGAGGCGTGCATGTCGGGGCAAATCTGCGTCACGGTCTTTGCGACTGAGTTGGCCAAAAGGCAATTTTGCAGGCGCATCAGTCGAAAAGAGAAGGCCACATGGGACCTGCCAGAAAGTCGGACGAGAACCTGCCATCGGACACTGGTCGGTTTTTGGATTAAAGGGGACTTCCTGGAGGTTCTAGAGCCACTTTTGATCACATTCCGGAAAGAGTTAGAGCCTGTAGTGGGCTGAACACTTCAGATTTTAGTTTTGAGTACAGCAAATGATGTAAACATGAACACGCATCTTGCTGGAGTTCTGCATATTTATCTCTCCCTGACCATACTGGTTCTGCACAAAGAGTCGACCAAGATCATCTGATCGCTGCCTCGGGGCCTGACGGGTCCAATGCTCTGAATATGTTCCAAAAAGCAAGCGCGTGTGGCGCGTGTGTATACCTGGAAGATCCAGATGGCTAAACAAACAATCGCATCGGATTCCAAGGCGTGGTTTGTTTTGTTGCCCACATTTTTGGGGGACGATCTTTTGCTCAGGCCGTGACAACCTGTTCATTGCCCAAAACTGGTGTTGTTTCCTTTCCACTGTGGTTTCAGGTGCGCATCCCCTTCGGCCAAACAGCGCTGCACATTTTGGTACCAATTTGAGGATTGCAGGTATTCTAGAAGGTTTGTGGCAAAGTAACCATGGTGGCATGAATTGAATATAATTGAATAAACATGTTTGCAAGGCAAATAACAAAGGCCGTTTTTAGCAGGAAAAAGGTATATAGGCAAGTGTGTCTGTCCACCGAAGTGCAACGAGGCAACTCACCTTGAAAGGTATGTCCACAACCAAAGGGGCAAAACATCTGACGCTTATAGGTGTTGAACAAATCGCATGAATCTCTTGGTTGTTTCCTCTGGATTCGGTCATTCCATTGCAAGCCTCAAACACATGTGTTGTTTTTTGGCGGCGTGTTTGTTTGAGCTGAAACTGCCAATGTCGTTGTTATTTTGCAACAAGCACACATGTTTGCACTTTGCAGGATCGTTTTTTTGTTGCCTTCGATTGTTATGGGTATGTATATTTATATATATATGCATGTACTGTACCAGCGCCTGCAAAGGGGTGTATATTCGGAGCCCCTTAGAACTCCTTAGGGGGGTCCTGGTATGTATATACGCAACAAGGGCCCGCCACGACAAAGCCACTGGTATGTAATATATACATATATATATATATATACTGATAGGCCGCGAATCGGGAACTGCTGTGTTTGGGTATGGAGCTGTCATCGATTCCCATAGGTAACTGGTGCCCTGGTGTGTCACAGCCTATCGGCTACTTCGCACGGATGTCCACGGCTGCCCACGTTTGAAGACATTGTCAAACAAATGACTGAGCAAGGATGCCCTATTTGCTAGGAAATAACAGCATGGATAGATTCCCGACAATTGAACATTACAAAATAACATAAAAACAACATATCACGGCTGCAGAAAAGTATAGAACAGTATATCACGGACGCCGGGTGAGCCAGGTAGTCACATCCACATCAAAGACTCCTTTGTAAAGGGGGGCAAAGGGGGGGCAGGGGAACTTGAGGGAGAACCATCAGCCGCCGCCACTTCTCCATGCGTAGCTATTCTCAACGCACTTCAAGAAGGTCAAATGTCATTACTAGACCACACAAATTCAGGCCTCCGCACTGAGGACGCGATACTGAAAGGTGAGGCCACCCAAACACACCACCCACGGCCTCAACACTTTGGTCCCCAAAAGAAATCTGTGCGCGGGCTTGCTGTACGGCAGTGGGCCCGTGGGCCCGAAGTCGAGCGGGCTTGTTCCGAAAAAGCTACCGCCCTGCCCAGATGTTGGGGTCCCTCTTTTTTCGTTTTCTGTGGGACCACCATGGGACGTGGAATGATGTTTCCTGATAAATTCGCGGGCTGCGTCGGGCAACACAGCAACATGTTTGAGTCTGACACACACACAATTAAAAAAAGACATAATATATATATATATTGTATTGTATATACTATACTGTATATTATACCGATCTTGCAAACACAATATACACCTTTTGTTTCTCCCTCTTTTGGACCCTTTGACTTCCCATTCCATCACCTGCTCTTCTTTGGGATCTGGTCCCATTTCTTGGCCACTTCCTGGCATCTCGGACAGGTGACTGGAAAAGCCTCAAACAAAACCAGTTTTCCAAGGGAGCCATCCACGTTTTTGATCGGATGGAGGAGAACTGCTGGGTACATGCAACTGATTGTTTTTCACAAACACACATCTTGCATTTCCTTGAGACTAGTGGGATACATGTCCATGGCTAGTTGATTACATCGCACATTGGCGATCTAGAATCTACATGGGGTATCGGTATCACGGTATCTTTGATAGTGCAAACACATTTCTCGATCAACTTCGAGTTCAGCTGCAAAGTCATCAAGCACCTACTGGCAAGTCTGACTACTGGGACGTACAGTTTTGGAGATTTGGTACGAATGTCTACCAATGCTGCAGAGGGTAGATTTGTCTGCGAGCCTCCTTTGTGGAGGTGTGTACTGTCATGTACTGTCGATATATATATATATATATGTATATATGTATATATACACACTATATAGTGAAAGTCTTGTAATGCCTTCTCTCAAGTGTGTATATATAATATACAAAGAGTGTCTTGTAACTCTTGTAATGTCTTCTAGAACCTCTTCCCTGGTCTGCCAGTTCGGCGGTCCTGGCTGCAGGCGCTGAAAAGCCACATAGCTCCATGGCTTTGGCACGGCAAGGTGGAGACTGACACCAAAGCCTCGTCACGTGACCCAAGAGTCCGGGTATCCCAGGAGACCCAAGAGCCTTATTGTGTCTTTGGAAACATCCTGGCTTCTTCCCCTATACCTGCAAAACCCATGGTCAGTCATGGCTTCCCTTCCTACCGCCTACCGCAGCGTGGATCGGTGTTTTCAACCAGTTCGGGAAGTATTGTTGAATCAAGCGAAGAAAAACAGGGACCAATCCCGCTTCCGAAGGCAAAGGTTGCACTGGTCAACACACAAAAGGGAACAAATATTCTAAAGTTATGATGTACCTTACAGCCTAACTCTGAAATCTCAAGGATTCATAAAAAAGCAAAAACAAACAAAACCGCACTCAGACATGATGACTAGGAAATGCAAAAAAAAGGCAAGAAAAAGGCAGCTGGTCAAAAAGAGTGCATATAAAAAAACACAAAAATTGCAAAAGGAAACAAACAAAAGCAAACAAAACGCAAAACAACAGTTAAAAAAAAAAAAAACGTAAAACAAAAGCGAACAAAACGCACAAAAAATGCACATGCACAACAAAATTTCACACACCACCTTTTTTGTGCGATATTTTTCGATGTTTGTGCGCTTTATCTGCGATTTGTTTGCATTTGTTCGCATTTGTTGTGCGGTTTTTGTGCGATTTGTTTGCGTTTTCTGAAGGAAACGCACAAAAAATGCAAAACAAAACTCGAAAACAAAAACACGTAAATACAAAGCAAAAAAACATGCAAAGGCCAAGACCAGAACGTTTTTGATTGCATTTGTGTTGCTTTTTGATTGCATTTGTTTTGCATTCTTTGTGCATTTTTGTTGTATTTTTTTTGTGTTTTTTGGTGCTTTTGTTTGCATTGTTTGTGCTTTTTGTGCATTTGTTTAGTGGACAAATGCGTTTTTGCGTTTTTTTGCATTCCAAGGCATCCTTTGGTGACTTGTTTTTGCGTTTTCTGTGCATTTTTGTTCGGGATTGGTTTTGCATTATTTTTGCATTGTTTATGCATGTTTTATGTGTTGCTGTGTCATCAGAACTAGCTTTAGCGTACATCATAATTCTAAAGACTCCTGCAAAAAGCTGCCACGTTCAATGTGACTTCTGGTCAATCAACAGTCGAACAATGAATCACTGAAGCCTCTGTTGCAGGACATTGGTGTTTCGGTTCAACATGAGAAAGAATGAGAACGACACATGCAGTTCATACCGTCTGGATGCACATATGTTTTCAGATTGGCAAAAACTAGAGACACTTCAAATTCAAATGTTATGTTTGATTATGTTTGGAGGGTCCAGTCGTACCGAACCTGAGAAGGTCTGTGGATCCCTAGGTGCCCCAGGGATAGATCGAGACGACGAACGAATCTCGGCGAACGACCGAGTCGAACCCAGTCGAGCAGGTGGAAACCGTGCAAAATGACGCCCTTTTTCGGCCTCTACGTCATTCTACGTCAACCCCAGTGGTTTTGAGTCCATGTGCTGGTCCGCACAGGGTAAGCATCCGGATAGTAAGTCACCTCATGTCCACTCCGGACTCACGAGTTGGCCGACTAGCTGGGGTGGTAGTCCAGAGGGGTCAATGATGATCAATGGCAGTCACCGTATTCTTCAGGTCCATGAGGGCCATGGTTGGGCCAAGATGAGCGATCCTTCATCTGACCAACTATCGAGGATACGACTATGAAACAGTCACATAGAACCGATTCGAAACACTCCCAGTTGAGAATCCTCATCTATGATCTTCCTATAGTTGGGAGATGTGTTTACTGGACTGTAAACACTTGACACTGGTACGAGGTAAACGTCTTCGAGGGATACATGTGGTGATTAGGATTCGCATCGTTTCGGCTCACCGAACATCGGCTCGAACGAACATCCGGTCGACCGGCGCCCGGAAACCTCTGTTCGCCGATGACGGACAACGAACACAAAGAAAACAGACCACTGCAAAACGATGGTGCTTCTAAAGTAACCAGTAGTGAGCACATGTGAGCACATATTGGGCAGTCTATCAGAATTCGCACGCCAAACATTGCCCCTGTGGCAGCCTCACAGATTGATCGAATCCGAGTCGCAGAAATCAGCAGCTGAACTGTCAGACCACTCAGATCATGCTGACCTTGCACGGAGAATTTTAGCGGGTTCCCCATTCCCAAGAATCTGAGTGGGGATATCATATTGCGGGTCTGACCGATTACGCGACCAAAACATCCGTTTCTTATTGAAGGAGCTGAGATTCCTCACGCCTCACGTCGATTCCTCACGTCCCACTACGTCACGTCCGAGCTTCCGAGTCATTAGATCGGTGTAGATGAAAAGAACATGGAGATGAAAGCAACACTGGACAATGGAGACACACTTGAATCGAACCCTGAAGAACTGTATCCTAAAGTCAAACCTTGACTCCCCATGCTGATTATCACAACTTCAGATGCTTCTGTCCATGGTGATTTGGGAAGCCCATCTTCTGCTGAAGAGCCAGGAATTCGAAAGAGATCTATTCAGGCTTGCCGTCCTCCCTACCATATGCCCTTCCGCATGAATCTTGTCAGCAAAATTGTAAGTACTTGGTTCTTATAGCCGCTTGAGAGATCTTGAGGGCCACCATCATTTCATATTCCTATAGCTTGAGAAGTAGTTCAGGAAATTTATACAGTAAATAACGGTAAATAATTTGTGTCTGCACTCTTTCAATCAATGCCCTGAGTCGGGCAAGTGAGAAGTACAGGTCTCCTTTTTTGTGCGATGACACATTGCCATCGTTTTGGCTTCATTCGTGCCATTCCACCCAGGGTGCCATTCGCACGTCTGACCACCAAGGGACTCAGGGCATCCACTGCAGTGTTCACCACAAGAGGCGTCTCAACGGCGACGTCTTGCCTCGGTGCACCCGGTACGCAAGGAACAAGGGGGTGGTATTCTTCCAACACGCCAGCGAAACAAACATCATGGCAAACAAATTAGCTCCTGCGTCAACTCAGATTCACGGCTGGTCTTATCAGTTTCTTCACTTCGTGATCCCCTCCTTAAAGGCCAATGTGAGAAGGTCAGGCAGCAAGAAGCCAGTCAATTAAGCAATAACAATATCCAAATACTTCATTCATTGAAGGTTCACAGGGCCTTCATAAGCTCTGCAGAGCCAAACCTTTCCCAAAAGCTGGATGTAGCAACCAAACCATAGAGATCGAATATACAAACCCGTCGTACTCAGCAAGGACATGTTCTTGCCTTATGGATCAAGTGTGTCTAGCACCCTTAAAACAAGCATGTCCCATGTAACGCCCGACATTCCCCAGCCAGCCTGCACTGGTGGCACGATCCTTTAACGCCTTTCATCACCCCATTCAGGTGGCACCACCTCGCGCAGGCGAGTGGCACCAGGTCAGGGCGCAGCTTGTAGAGCTTCGCAAAGGACCACCTCGCCCCACGGCCCAGAACAGCGACGCCGGAGGACGTCCGCGGACGAGTGGCTGGCAGTTTGGGTCCCTGGGTGGTGAAGTTCAAGTCACCAAAACGTTGGGGAGACCGTTGTCAAACAGTTTAGATAACTTCAATTTGCTCAGATGTTGCATATCTAATTCGGATAGGTAAATGTTGATGCACCTGGATCTATCTGTTTGATTTGTGGCAAAGTCCAACACACCATATACACAAGAAGTGGAACAACAGAATCATAACTAAGGGAAATTCTCTCAGGATTCTGCAGGATTTTGCCTATCAATCTCACCAGTTTCGGGAGCCAAACATGCACCCTTCTACGCTCGTTCCAGTCTTGACTCCCGCCAGGTGTGGTGGCTACGCCGCCGCCGATCACTGGGGGTGAAATCAAAATCCCCACGGTCACGGTCACATGTCTAAGCTTCGAAATGGAACAGTCACATCCTTTTGGTTAAGACCTTTGATGTGCTATTTCTTCCAGCAGCTTCTGTCGCACGAAACAACGAATCGGTCTTAGTCAGTCTCCTTCGGTCTTCCGGCAGGCAAAAGGGGGACGTGTTCACTCGGGATTCTGTCGAACTGTTTCGTCAGGTCAGGTCGAACGGTAGCCAAGGCCTTCCGAGATCAGCCCCTCACTGCCAAGTGGCAGCAAGTTGGTGATGTCATGGACTTCGCCTCACCAGTCTACGAAGTGAAGACGCGATCCATGGTTGCGGAAGCATGCAGAACGACGCCCTGACACGTGTCCTCTTTGTGTAGATGATACACAAATGCAAATTAAATATAATTAATATATAACATTATATAATTATACAGTAAAAATCAGCATAATAGTATATAGAAACAAACACAAATAGAATACAAATAGTATATAGCTAAGCTATAATATGGGGATGATATTTATGGGGCATCATTGCTAATACAAAGAATGACAAAGAATCTATAAGCCAAACCACAACACCCTGAATTGCTTGAAAACTTAGTCCTGTTGATACATCACAGTTGGTCATGTGACCTAACCACATTTCCACTCACGAAGAATCTGATCTAGGCGTCTGAATTCACTCTAGGTGGTCAACCCCGGAATTAAACAAAAAAACAAAAACACACGATAGCTGGTCTACATGTTTGGGGCGTTTCAGAAAGGCAGCTTTTGCACCCAAAACCTTTCAAACACACCTGTGAATCATGGTCTTCACAGTCCCACCACGTCTGGAACGAAGACTCCCCCACAATTTGCACCCCGAAATGAGGCGGAACGCCTATGCCTCATCTCGATGCCTCATTTCAGCATCCAAACATCTGTCATCGTTTTCGGAAGGTCGTAAACTTACGCAATGATCTCTTGCAGGTGGGGACTTGTTGAAGTTTCCATATAGTCTTCCCTACTATAGTGTAGAGCACTACAGGTCAGTTTCCATACGTACACTAGAATGACTTCCCTATAGTGCCCATCATGTACAGACCAGACCTGGTGCACCAACTCCTGCGATGCAACAGTTTCTCCTGCGCGAAACTATGAGTTCCCTCAGGGATTCTTGAAGAATTATCTTGAATCTGCATGGACCAATGGAAAAAAACCCAAAGGCCATGGATGGACTGGACCCAAAGGCCAATAGAAGCTCCCCAAAATAAGATGGCCATGGATGGATAGGATCTCTCCACATCCCATCCCTCGCACAGCTGAGTGAGTTTCAGCTCGTAACGTCGTCGTCGAGGGGCAATTACGGAGCTTCGGAATGGCCACTTGACTGAGCAACGCAAAGAGATCCGTGGGGAAGGTTTCCAATGAGGCCTCGGACGGTTTCGGTGGCACGCAGCAGCATGGACGGACGTTCGTGCCGTCATGCATGGATAGCTGGTGGAGAAAAAGATGTTCAGAGTTCCGTGAAGAAATAGCAAGATCTTAAAGGGCAGCAATAGCGCAATCGAAAAGTAAGCTTGGATATCATCCTTCTCAATCAATAGAGACAACAAACCTTGAACAAATATCTATGTGTCCCACCCCCGAAACTGTTCTTGGTGTGGGAAAATATTGATAAACTTGTTTTATTTTTCTCCCACTGTATTCATTGGGGATTCGACATTAGCTTGCACCTTTGGAGGTGTTCCAAGTGACCTTGAGAGGAGCTTCAACCGGTCAGTCTCACCAAATTCACAGCTAGCAGGTACAGTAACTGAAATCTTCTGATCGATTTTGGGAACAAACCCCATTTTGAGCAGGTTAGATGAGGACTTGTGGCACCTGTTGACCCAAAAGGAAAGGCAGAAACTGAAGGACTGCACTTGGACATTGAGAGTTGCAGTTGAGCATCTTTGCAACTAATGGCTCCCAACTTTCAACGTGGTGCCGATTCATACTGTGAAATTCACTTGTTCTCACTTTCCATACAATCCAAACATGAGCCACCCTTTGCACAATGGCCTCTATAACAGTCTGTCTATAAGCAATACTTCAAAACTCTTGATTCTTCTACAAGTACCTGCTTCAACATTTCACCAGGTTGCAGCTTTACAAGTGCGTTAAGCTTTTGAAAGGAATCCTATTCCCCACTTGGCCTGCCATAGGCTGACCCCTCAAGATCCATTGTCGGACGCTTGGCTCGGACGCTTCGGCGACCCCGATCCCAACGGAGATCCCAACGGAGATCATCTCAGTTTCTGGCATACCATTTTAGATAAGTATGTCCTTTCATGTCCAGCTTGCACTAAACACGGTTCTTGAACACGCGATGCCGAAGTTGTTCACTCTTTCACCTCAATTCACCGGTTCATCTAAAAGTTCCATTCCTGTCACTGGTACCACACCGACCGCTCGGAGACTCCGAGCAGGGGGCCCTAACCCCCGATGGGCTAAAAGCGTAATAGAGATCGATTAGGAGATATTAAGGAGTACTCTTTCTAATAGCAATGGCCTCCAACCGAAGAGGCGATGGCGTCAACGAAGCCGCTCGGTATTGTGACCTGAACTGGGACCCTAATTGCCACAGGTACCTGAACTGGGATAGTCGAACTGACACGGTTATGAAACACCTCTGTTGGCACACGTTGGGACACCGCACTAAAGACCAAAGGATCATGATGCTGCACTTCGCTGTCAAGACCTCCGTCCGAGGCAGCTGAAGCTCCTGTCGCTTCGGACACCGTGCTGGCAGCGTTGGCAGCGTTTGGCAAGCGCGAAGCGCCCTCCCCATCTCTGGACACCGTTGGAGGTTGAGGTCTTCGTGTTTTTTTCGTGAGACTTTGTGCAACTTGACTTCGTACAAAACCTCTAGTGACTAGTGCGTTTGACCTTGTCTGACTGTGTCTGTGGCCAACACCGGCGAACACCGGAGCAGATCGAGGGTTCGACATGTCGGCTCCCCCATGCGACGATCCCATGCGATCCTGTTTGCAACTGTCAGTATGCAGCTTTGCTTGCGGCTGTGCTTGCGGAGGTTCAAACATGACCCGTTGGGAAAGTCACCACCGACTTCTGGACCGATGCCGTGCGAGGGATGCCGTGCGTTGGGTTCCGATGGGTTTGCATGGGTTCCCTATTCAGCACCCCATTGGGGTCTGGGGGGGTAAAGTGTTCTGAAATGTCCAAATGTCACCAAACATTGAGAGGTTTCTGAAGGGTGCAACAATGAGGTTGTCTGGTCTGACCAGTTGTTTCGAGCGTGCCATAATTTCATGGGAGTCCTCCAGCATTATTATTAATATATATATATATATGTAGCTGTCCAACAGTGACCTATACTATTCATACCTATCACCTTCATTGTACAATCCCCTTTTGGATATTTTGAGATCACCTGTTAAAACACCCCGGCTCTGCCACACATGATGGATCCTCCCACAGTACCTCTGCCCACCCCACTGGTACAAGCGGATTGAGCGGATAGTCCAAACACGTGGTAACCAACCTTGGAAGGTCGGCTGTCTAAACCGACTAGCCCTTCCACCTCCCAACATCCTAATGTGTCCACATGGCCAAAACCAACTAATTGCACTGAGCGAATGGGACCGACCAATGACTGAGTGAATACACCATCCCGCCATCCCAAGTTGTCGCGATCATGTCACCGTGTCACATGTCCCACGTCCGGTCCTGGTGGGCCAAAGTCTGTGCCATGTCCAACATCTCCATGAAGACTGGGCTGAGAAGGACCTTGGACCGCCACACATTCCAACTTCCCGGCACTTGGAGGACATTGCTCTTAGGTTGGAGGCCATTGCTATTAGTTTGGAGGAGGTTCACACCCACACACAAGGGCTCTTGGCCGTGATCGTTCGAGTCGCAGTCACTAAGTGGACACCAGGCGAATCATGCAACACACAGCATACAAATACATATATATATATATATTTTTATATCGAAGCAGAAGTGACGCAGTCCAAAGACATGACGGTGGAATCTAGACCCCGGAAACATCCCGAACATGGTGATACACTTTAAACATGAACCGGCCATGTTGATCTCAAAGAATTGCTCAGCTGGCCATGTTCGGGGGAACCGGCCAGATGAATGTGACCCCCTCTTGACCAGTTAAGCGCCGAAACAAACGATCAGGGTTTATTAATTTTGTGGTATTGATGGTAACCGGCTTCGTGAGAAAAACAGGCCATTATCATTATCATTATGAACTCACAAAACCTCAGTCAATCTCAATGCATCTCTGGGCCAATGTTTGGTTCAACACCTCCATAACGCCCAATACGACGCCCGCAAACGGATGAACCAGCTTCGACCAGAGCCGCTCTTAGCACTCTTAGCAGCCCTGACCAGCTACATCACCGAAAGCAAGGACAAAAGGTGCATTGTGTCATCCAACCCAATATGGAAAACGGCCGGCTGCTCAAGGACGTGATATTTGGATCCACTGGTTTTTTGGAAGCATTGGTAGATCATAGATCATCAAAATGCTGGCTTTTTACATAGATCAGAGACAGCCTCTCCCCCAGGCGCAACAGGCCTTCTCAGTCTTCGGGCATGAGCAACAAGCACAAAATTTCCAGGTTTCACCACGAACGTTGTGGATGGTGGCTGTGCATTCCTGAACACCCGCGGCCCTGGAGCACAGAAAACCAAAACAAACCGCACGGCGCCGCGTGCGGCCCAAGGCACTTCTGGGATTTGTTGATTCGTGGTACACCGCGCGAGGCGGTGAAAGGCGGTGGCCAAATTTAAGCCATTGAGTTGTCCTTGGGAGCTCTTTGGTCGGTGAGAACAGGGGGAGAACAACATGGCGTTGTTCAAAGTGAGAAAAGTGGATCCACTGGGTCTGGCTTGTGCAAGGTTGAAATAAGCAAATCAACATCTAAAAACATATTAGACCACTCAAATCCCAGAAGTGCATGAACATTACATTACGTCACCGCAGCGTATGAGTTGCTCCTGGGTCCCTGGGTGCTTCGGTACGGCATTGATCTGAGAACCTAATAGCAATGGCCTCCACCCTCTAGCGATGGCCTCCAACCTACTAACGATGGCCTCTACCCTACTAGCGACGGCCTCCAACCTAGTAGCGATGGCATCCAACCGTAGCGATGGCCTCCAACCTAGTAGTGATGGCCTCCAACCTAGTAGCGATGGCCTCCAACCTACTAGCGATGGCCTCCAACCTACTGTACTAGCGATGGCCTCCAGCCTACTAGCTATGGCCTCCACCCTTCTAGCGATGGCCTCCAACCTAGTAGCGAACGCCTCCAACCTACTAGCGAAGGCCTCCGCCCTACTAGCGATGGCCTCCAACCTACTAGCGATGGCCTCCAACCTAGCAGTAAAGCTCAAATTGTCTGGATCATCATCTGTTCACCACCCATGAATGGCGAACATGGTTTGAGTGTCATCCCCGTGCACGGTCTCAGCTAGGTATCTCGAGGAACTTCTTCAGTCACATCATGGCCCACCCCTTGAAATACTAGGAAGGGATTGGAACATGCTGAGCCTTTTCTAGGTGAAGTGGTATGGAATAGTTCATAGATCATACTGACTGAATGTTTGACCAACCTCCAAACTGGTCCATACTGCGACAGGCCCAGTGGTTACTGCTTCAAGATCTCCATCCTTCTCGATTCCATATCCAGGTCTCCACTGTACCTGCTGACCACATCCAACACCATCGCGCCTCAAAGCGGCGTCCGTTGTCCATGTCTCAGTCTCCCCTTTCGAGCGAAGAACACGGCTCCAAACGCACAAACACTCCATGCATGTGCCCACAAATTTTAAGAATCAAAGTTGCTCAATTTAGAAGTGGCCCAGACCCAGCAACTTCTGCTCTGCTTTCAGAATTTGAACTTGCAGTTCCTTATGGACTTAATGTTCAAACAAGCAACTGACACACTGAGTACGGGTGAATTCACCCCAAACAGCCTGGCAACGTGAAACCAATCATTTCACAAATGAATCCGATCGCACGGTGGGCCCTTGGTCATGGGTTTGGTCGGCCCTCTTTCAGCACAGTTTGGGGCGGGGCAACTGTTATAAGCTATAGGGCAACACCCTTGCATCATCGGTCCGCAGTTTTTGAAGGCATAGCACATACATATATTAATATATATATATATACCTATCACAAACAATGTTCATGAATATTACCCTCTTCATCCTGATTCATCTGCTTGGAATCTATGGAACTCAATGTTTGTTACTGGCTAACAAGTCAAAAAGCGAGTCACCTGCCAACCCTGTAAAGCCCTGCAAGGTGTCATCCCACCACTGCAATCTCGGGCCAGATCTGTGGGTGTTCCGTATCCACCCTATCCCATGCAGGTTGCAAAAGGCACAGGAGGCTTTTTTGTTCAGAAGAGAGGGTTTAGTTCATAGGTGGAAGGGATTACAACAGCCCATTCTGCAATTGATGTGTA